AGACTCAAATTCGGGCAAAGTTTGAGTTTAAACTAAAGCCCCATCAATCAAGTTTCTAATGGTAATAATTTCACATCAAAATTTATATATTTTATGAAATTGGTCAAAATAGTGCAACCTGGTTAGACAACACTTCCAAAATATTTTGGAGTTGTCCAACTCTAGAGCTTGTATTCAATAAAAATAAGTTTCAAAACTTTCTTTTTTGTAAAAAAAAATTCTTCAAAATTTAATTTTCAAACAAAATCAATCAATTAAAAATTTATAATTTGGTGTAAGAATATGAATTTTATTTTAATTTAGGCTATGAACAAATCTTACCCAATAATTAGAGCTTCTTTTTCTTTCTATTATTCTTTTCTCTTTTCTCCTTTCTTTCTCTTTTTTCTTTTGTTTTCCAACCAATGAACACTTTAGACCTTTTGCACGAATTTTTCTATAAAAGAAACCTCACCCTTAGCTTTTACATACAAGAACACACATACAAACACTTCATCCAGCTGAGAGGAAGAGAGGGGAAGCGGGTGAGTTTGGTGGAAGAAAAGAAAAAAAAAGAAGATCTTGTTAGTTAACCAACCAAGCCTCAAGTAAGCCACAACGCAACTCTCTCTTTTATTTTCCTTTTTCAAATACATGTTATTAGATGTTTAAAATCATGTTTTCAGATGTGTTGTAATGGTGTTCATATGTTCAAAGTTGATGAATTGGGCTTTGATCCTTCTTCTACACATTTCCTCTTAATAGATACAAAACTACATTTTTCTTCCCATATCTCACATTTTTTTTAAAGGCATACCATCACTCTAAAAATCTGAGTTATTAATACATTATTTAGTATGTTTTCATCACAAAAGAAGTGAAAAATTTCCTTTAGTTGGCCTATTTTCTCACCAATCTTCTTATTTTGAGTATTGTGCATGAAAAACCTATTTTACAGCTAACTTTTGAAAATTCTAGAAAAATCTCCCGGACCTCAGTTTTGTGTCAAAAACTTCCTTATGGAGTTATCTTTCAAGGAAAATTGGTTTCATTGAAAATAAGTGAGCGATTTGAAAGAAAATCTGATTTTCGTAACGATCGACGAATCTGGACAGCGATAGAACGTTTCTTAAATAACTAAAAATCAAGAAAAGGTATTCCATTTTTGAAACATGTTTTGAAAACTAGATTTAATTCTCTACGAACCATAGGAAGGCCAGGTTCGGAAAAAATCTAAAATGGTCCTTTTGACTTTAATCTTTAAATGGTACTGAATTTGGAAATTTAGTTTTGCATTTGTATTTTAAGCTCTGGCCTTCATGAATATGCTTATTAGTATATGATCATGTCTTGGTATGATATTGCATGCGTTATGGTTATGTTCCTTATCTTCTTCAATTGATAATGTTCATGCTTATGTGGATATTGCTATCTTGTTAGGTTGTTTTAACTTTATTTTAAGACATTTAACTCAACTGAAATCTTAATTGGAGTGGTATTGGGTTTCCGATCACTTAAATAATGAAGAGATGATAATGTGTTATGTATCGATTGATAGGATATGCTCCCTAATTGAAGCTTAAGTCTGGGGTAAGTGGTTATCGTGTAAACCCTAGAATAGAACGGATGTATTCGAACTTTTTGCGATGGTTTGAGCGGTGAAATAAGGTTGGGTCTAGATGGGATATTCAGGAGGATAATTTTTTTTTAGAAGGATAAGGTTGGATTCAGGGTAATAAAACCTTTTTCTTTTTGCAGTCCTTTTTGAGGCCCTGCGGTTGGCGTTACGCGATATATAACCATTGGTAGGCATTTGAGGTAAGTTATGCAACAAAGTAGCAAAAATGGGAGTTTCGAATAGTCTGGTGTCCAATTCTTGCGGTTGAGATGATGAAATCTCTTTGGGAGATTTATAGAATACTAACATCTAACCTTGTAATCCTTGTTATTGACTTAAATATCATGCTTCATTACTTACTTGTTATAAATGTGATAGTGTATTGGATTAGCAAAAAGGGACGGGGTGTGTATGCATTTACTGGGCATTCAAAACTCATGGCATTTCATACCAAGTATTGAAGACTATTAGATCTGTCGAAGACAAAACTGAAGCATTTGAGGACGTACAGCTACCCTAGGAGGATTAGAAACTAGTTTGTAAACGTGTTTTGAGATTGTAAGTGATAGACCCCATTTTGTATTTAAGACATGATTTTTGTAATTATTATATATCTATACATATCTTTTATATTACCTATTCTTTTTTTCTTTTTCTTTTTTTATCGTCGACTCATGTAGACCTTGTGTTAATATCTTGTTAAGATCTGTTAAAATGGTAGCTTTGCTATCTAACGTCATTGAACTTTGAAGGGAGGGTATATTGACTCCTCTGACCTTCATGGGATCTTACTTAGTTATTAACCAAATGACTCATTGGTGACGTTTCATATTTTGTAATCTTAGATAAATCCTATATTTATTTGTTAATATATTCTCTGATGTTCCCAATTTTTTGTGGCGTCACACGTATGCTTCTGAAATTCAAAATAACTTGATTAATGGCAATATCATATATGAAAAATTCAATGTTACCATAGATTGTGATCATATCTATATAGTTGGAAATTTAAATTTTAAAACATAAATGTAATATGTAACATCTTAAACCTTATGTAACATTTCTAAACCCAACATAAATGTAACATGTAACATCCCAAACTCACTGTGACATTTCCATATGCTTCTTATCCCAAACCCAAAGTGACATTCCAATACTCCAACGTTGAATTATGAATAATGTAACCTCCTAAATGTAACATCTAACATCTAACATCCTAACCCAATCCATGTATTAAATCACCATCACCCCCAACCTAACGTAACTTCAACATTGAGCAATGGGGTTCAATCCACATTCAATTACAAACCCAAATCCCTAATAATTTTGTGCAACGTAGTGTGACATGTATGTAAACACTAATTACAACTAAGGCTGTGCAAAATACCGCTCAATTCGCTAAAATCGCACTGATCCGCATCTATCCGTATCGCTCTACCCGCTAACTGCGGTTTAAACTTTAAAATTTATAATCCGCCAACCGAACCGCTTCGCTCCACTATAGTTAATACATATATATTTTTTAACCTCAAATGAAATATCAATGTAAAAATGAGTGTGAGAGAGATTTAAGATATGAAATTTATTACAAATTAGTGGTTATATATATGAAACTTATTATGTAAAATTACTTTGTGGTATATATCTAAAAAATATTATACAAATTAGTGCTATATATTATGCAAATGTATGATAATTAGTTAGAATATTCTTCAATTCGCCAATCCGCTAAAAACCGCCCAAACTGTAATTTGTCAATCCACTAATCCGCCAACCCTCCATTCGGTTGTAAATTTACTCTCAAACAGCCTGAATCGCACCGCGCACACCCCTAATTACAACAAAGACACGATACACATTCAAACACATACATAATCGAATAAACGCACAAATATCAACTACATGGTATATGTAGATTAATGTTACACACTAAATGTAACATGCATCGTAATACGATCATTCAAGTCCCAATGTACAATTGTTATTCTACGACGTGGTTTATATTCGACATCCAATTAATAACCAAAACCAAACATCCCCAACCCAACCTTTAAACCTATACACACCACTATACACATTGAACATACCAAAACGTATCAACTATCAGAATGTTAAATACACATATTCAATTAGAACATTGGCCAAAGTATGCATATCAATGAGTATGATAGATTGTTAATGCCCTATTAAAGATGAACAATCCATACTTCAACAAACAATAACACACTTCAATTTTATTTATTTTTTTAAAAAAATACATTTTCTCCTCAATCGATTGGAGTCGAAATCTGTCAAAGAAATCAACACACAACCCTCAAACTTCATTATATTATCGACCATATCCACATCCATTTAAGCAACATTTTGAAAATACATTAGAATCTGATCAAGGTGAGAAAAATTCGTACAGTCATTACCTATAGATTTATCTTTCTGAAAAGTCTTCTCAAACGTGATATGATGAATAAGAAAATAAAGTACAATATGAAAATAAATTATGGGTATAATAATACACTAATATCATTTATTTACAATTTATAGGATCCTATGGAACACATTTATATTTAGGGATAGTTTGAGATGATTTAAATAAGTGTACTTTTTTACTTTTAATGAAATATGGGTTGCGTATGGGTTGAATTTGAAGTGATGTAGTATAGAAGTGATGTGACTTAAATAAGATGATGCAAATTAAATAGGATAGTGACTTTTTGACTTTTTTAAGTTATGACAAATAAGGCCTTAAATATATTTTCAAACTCAAAAAGAATTTTATAAGATTTTATGTTAAATAAGTTTTCCAAATAGTACTTAGGCCTCGTTTGGGAACAGGCTAATTTAGTAATTTTTTGGCTATTTAGCTAAAATATGAGCTAAAAAAAACTAGCATGTTTGGGATGACTTTTTGACTTTTTACGAAAAGATGTGCAAAAAATAGAGAGAAAAGAGAGTCTTTGACTTTTTGATATGTGTTGTTGACCTTTTTGGCTAATTTAGTAACTTTTTGACTTTTTGGCTAATTTAGTAACTTTTTGACTTTTTGGCTAAAAAGAAAGGTTCCAAACGAGGCTTTAGCATTTGTTTGTCATAAGTTAAAATGAGACTTTTTTAACTAAAATAATCACAAAAAAATCTACTTTTTAACCAAAAAAGACCAAATATACTTTTTAGTCCAATAAGATATAAAGTCACATCGAAACCATAATCATTTTATTTTTTCTGAAATAAAAGTAAAAAAAATAAAAAAAAATCTATCTCAAACAAAATTTTTTAACCTCAAATTAAAATAGTCAAAAAATCAATCTACATCTCAAACCAACTCTTAACTTATTTTAAAAAATGATTAATATATTTTAATTTATTAATAATTAATAATAAAATTATTTTATTTGTATTTCGAGGCCTGTGAGGCTGTGATGTGAGAAATGCCTTTGCAGGCCGAAGGAAAGAGAAAACGCAAGAAAACCAAAAACCAAATCACACAAAACCAAAACCAAAACCAAAACCAAAACCCAAATTCACAAATCCAAAAATCACAAATTAAAAAAAGTCAAAAATCGAACCCTGCATTTGGTCGAGGATGTGTTCGAGAATGAGAGATGATGATTTTGTTTTCATACATCATTATTATTATTATTGTTGCTTGTAGTTGTTGTTGTGATGGCGATTGAGACGATGATACCCAACCACACACCCACTGTTTTCTGTTTGGTATCAGAGAAACCGCCTTTCGATTTTCTGGCCTCTGAATCTAACTCCAACCCCTTCCTTTCGATCTGTAACTGTAAGTATTTCGATCACTTCAATTTTATATTTTATTATTCTTCTTTGTTTGGTTTTGGTGTCAAATCTATTGCATTCATTTTCCATCTCTAGGGTTTCTGTCAGTATTCATGGATCTTCAAATCTGATGTCTTTTTTGATTTGTTTCGATTAACTAGCTTCCAAAATCACTCTAGGGTTTTCTATTTTCTTGCTCAGAAATGTGGGAAAAAAACGAAAGCCAGAGCTTGGTTTTCAATCTAGATTTATTTAGGTTTATTGGGGTTTTTTTTTTTTTTCTTTTCCTTTTTTTTTGGGAGCTGTGAAGAGAAACATTCACTCCAGCTTCGGTGTTTGCAGCTGCGACTCGATTTGGCTTCAAATTTTTTTTCTTGAGTTTTCTGGGCCAGAGATACTCTTAATAGATCATTTATATCAAATAAAGAAAGGGATTTGTTGACTATATGAATAGTGGTTTACGACTTCTCTGTCAGCGAGGAGATTTACATGTCATTTATTTTGTTTTATTTTTATACCCTAAATAAGCATTATATGTGTTCAGAACAAGCTTTCAATTCTTGGGCTGTTTCAGGTTTTATGAAGTCCTCTTTCTAGTACCTGCTCGTTAGCTTGTACCAGTTGACAATGGCAGAATCTAGTTCAGTTGATGTCATCCTAGAGTTTTTACGAAGGAACAAATTTACAAGGGCCGAGGCTGCTTTCCGCAGTGAGCTCAATAACCGCCCTGATTTGAACGGTTTCCTTGAAAAACTCACCATTAAAGAGGAATTGGGTAAGTTATTGGAGGAAGAGAATCGGGGCAAAGCAACTACAGAAAATCAAGGGACAAGTAATCAAAATACTGGTGAAGTTTCAAAGGAGCTTATTGTCATGGAGATAGAGCATGGGTCGGGGAGAAATGGGTCTGAGAGCAAATGGAAAAACTCTGCCTCCGTTGGGGAGCGAAATAAACTGAACGAACCCATTGGAACGAGTGGCAAGAACTTTACTTTCTCTAAAGGTTTAGAAGACACCGTGCTTGATTTGTACTCGTGGAACTTCAATCCTGGTAATGGTCCTGTGGATCGTTATCGGAATGACCATAGCATCAATACAAACAACTTGTCTGAGTTCCAGGTTACTGGTCAGTCAAAGTTCCATTTGGCTGAAGTTTCAGATGCTGGCAAAGCCAATGTGAAATCTGGAGAAGAGAAAAGTTATGCTGGTGAAATGAGAACATCATGGCTTGGAAGTACCAGTAAAGCCAGTGCAGAGTCTAAGAATGAGAGGAACCAAGCTAGCGAGCTTAAGGAACTTGATCAGCTACATAAGGCAAGTGGTGCCCCCTCTAGAGACAACTTTGTGGATAACCCATGGTCTAGAAGCAATGAGCCTACAAATTCAGCATCAGAGTTGTGGAAAGATTGCTCAGTCAAAACTGTATTTCCATTCTCCAAACCGGATGCATCGACCAGTTTTGAATGTGCTGCAATCGGTGACCAGAAAGAAGGCAAGAGAAGAGCGGAGATCAGTGACATTAGGGCAGCAATCAAAGAGCAAGTGGATGAGGTTGGAAGGGCTTTATTTTTTGGAAAGACCCAGGAGAGTTCTGAGCAAAAGAATGTCAGCAGCTTAAGCTTTCCTCATGCATATGAGATTCAGAAAGAAGAATTACCTAGGTTGCCACCTGTTAAACTTAAGTCAGAGGACAAGGAATTAAGTGTCAATTGGGAGGAAAAATTTGATCGTGATGGACCTGGGTCGAAGCTTACTCCTGCTGACAATACATTCCTTATAGGGTCATATCTTGATGTTCCTGTGGGACAAGAAATCAGTTCTGCAGGTTTGTTTATTTCAATGTTTTATGTTCAGCCCATACTTACAGCTCAGTCAAATGTTTGTGTGTGTGTGTTTAATTAATAAATTAACTCAGGGTATGTTTGATAAAACTGAAAATTTGGTATGTTACAATTTATTGCTGAATTAGTTGTGCTAAAGACTTTGAAGGGCTGATTTATCACTAAAAAAAAAGAAGACGACTTTGAAGTGCTGAATTTGCAGAACTCAAACTATAAAGGGTAAATTTGTTAGTTTAATTTTACATCTTCCACTTAAGCCATTCAACACTTCGTGATAAGACAGACTTATATAATCAATTCCCCATTTTTAGTAGAATTTACCTTTTAAGTGGTAACAAATTACGTGTGATTAAATGTACTTAGAGGAAAAACTGAAATTTTCTGATCTCAGTTATCAGATAGAACCACATTTCCCTGTCAATTACGTGGCTTTCTCCAATTCTAGTTCTACTCATTGCATATTCTTGACCTCTTACCTGAGCTTGGTTTTCAATCTAGATTTATTTTTTACTAATTCATCTCTCTCAGTGAACATGTTTCTTGGGTTGATTTATTTGCTGCCAATTCATGCCATTCTAACATAAGGCATTCATTTGAATTGTTGATTTCTCACCTCAAGTTATAATAATATATTGCATATTTTTAGAGGTGTTTTGTGTCTGTAGAGAATCCCCTTTGTTTCCCCCTTCTCTTTGTGTGCCAACATTTTTCATCGAGGTGCATAATTCTACACCAATCGGAATTGTACAAATTATCTCCTGAATACTTTGAGTCAGTACATCCCTGTCACAAAGTTGGTACAAGCTTATTTCTTATTGATTACATTGTCAAGTCTTATTTTGGATAATGGTGTGGTCCATGGGATTGGTTTACAAGTCAATGTGATTAATGAAGTGATTCCATTTAAATATTTCATCATTACTTTAAAATTGTATTATGAGGAATCTCTACCTTTTTTTATTTAAAGAACAACTTGAAACTTTGAATTTTTAACATTTGTCATTTTATGGTGTACAAAATTGATTGTTTTTTCAAGTTCCTCTTGGTGGCTATTGTATTACATGATTTCTCCGCACCCCTCAAAAAAAAAAAAACCTCAATCATAGTCCCCCAAGTGAAGATGTTGATTGATATACTAAGAATATTATGCATTTTAATTTTATAATAAACAATTCATAAGCTCTACAACCTTTAAGACTTCTGGGGCATGTGTCTTCTTTTCCTGCTTATTTGTTCTTGTTAATATTTTAATATATATATTTGTACTATTCAGTTCCTTTAACAATATTCATTTTTTTTTTTCCTCAAATAACTGGAAATTAATGATCATTGTTATTATTTTTGTGAAAGTTGACCTCTTTGAGTCCATCCTTTGTTTCGCCAATGTACCTTAATGATACTAATTGGTGTACTTGGCCATTTACAATGGTGTGATTATCCATAAACATTTATGTAAATGTATCTAAGTTTGTGATTAATTGTTGGTAGAAAAGAACAAGCTAGATAATTTCTGCTGTGGACCTGTTAGTTTCCTTACTTTTTGGTTCTTTTTAATCCTTGCTTTACGGTCCGTTTCATCTATCGTTTTGGCCGATCTTCTAAAACTTGAAGAAATGGCCATTAACATTTGAAATGATGATCTAGGTGGAAAAAGGGCCGGAGGAGGGAGCTGGCTGTCTGTAAGTCAGGGCATTGCGGAGGATACTTCCGATCTTGTGTCTGGTTTTGCAACTATTGGTGATGGATTGAGTGAATCTGTTGACTATCCAAATGAGTATTGGGACTCTGATGAATATGATGATGATGATGATGTGGGCTACATGAGACAACCTATTGAAGATGAGACCTGGTTTCTAGCTCATGAAATCGATTACCCAAGTGACAATGAAAAGGGAACAGGACATGGGAGTGTGCCGGACCCTCAAGAAAGGGGCCCTGCCAAAGATGAGGATGATGATCAGTCATTTGCAGAGGAGGATTCCTACTTCTCTGGAGAGCGGTATTTTGAATCTAAAAATGTTAATCCAGTTACAGCTTTAGATGATCCTATAGGCCTGTCAATGACTGAAATGTATGGGAGGACCGATGAAAATGATCTGATAGCTCAGTATGATGGACAATTGATGGATGAAGAGGAACTGAATTTGATGCGTGCAGAACCGGTCTGGCAAGGTTTTGTCACTCAGACAAATGAATTCATCATGTTAGGGGCGGGGAAAGTTCAGAATGAATGTGGAAGGCCTCGTCTGGATGATATTTGTATGGATGATGATCAGCATGGTTCAGTGAGATCTATCGGTGTGGGGATCAACAGTGATGCTGCCGATATGGGCAGTGAGGTTCGAGAAAGTTTGGTTGGTGGTAGTAGTGAGGGGGACTTGGAGTACTTTCAAGATCATGATATTGGTATCAGTGGATCCAGGCATTCCGTGCATCTCTCAGATAGGAAATATGTTGAGAGATCAAACAGGGATAAAAAGAGAACAAATAAACATGACTCTGACAAGTATGTAATGGGTAATGACAAGGGTGCAGGGAAACAGGAAAAAAATCATACAGATGGAGGATTTTCATTCCCCCCTCCGAGAGATGGGCAGTTGGTGCAGACTGGATCTAGTAAATCTTTATGGTCGAACAAGTGCAATGCTGTTATTGGTGATGAACTTGATGGCTGTTTGAATACTGAGATTGGGGCAGATGACATGCTTGCTCAATGGAGGCGGAAAAGCAGTGATTCTTCACCTGTCAAGAGTTCAAGGGATGAAAACAATGCCAATGCTGTAGTATCGGAAAATTCTTCCCCATCGACAATCTCCGATTATCGTTATGCTGAAAAAGATCATGACAAGAAAGAAGAGGATGAAAGAGCTGCTTGTACAAGAGAAGAAGATTTTGGGGCATCACTGGAGGATGAAGAGGCAGTTGCCGTGCAAGAGCAAGTAAAGCAGATAAAGGTTCAGGAGGAGGAGTTTGAAACTTTCAATCTTAAGATTGTCCACAGGAAAAACAGGTAAACCTTTGTTCATATACGAATTCGTTTGAACTAAAAAATAATAACTCCTGGTTATTATTTTGCAATTTTCTGCTTTTGTTTTGGACTTCTATAATCTGAAAGATTTAAGCAACAGTTGAACTAAAAGATATACATCCTCTTCATTTAGTTTCACATTAAGCTTTGGGCTTCTACTCGTTGAAAAGGTAAAAATTAGTTTATGGGATGTGTATGAGATTCTGATAATTTTGTTTGTTCTTGTTTTAAACAAAATACGTTGGCTTTTTCTTGTAGAAGGATGAAAACTAGGACTGCTTAGCTAAGCATAACCTATTTCTCTATTGCATTGACTTAGGTGAGGTATTGGTTGTGGTTATATGTCTCAGCATTGGATTGATCTAATTCTCATGTCAAGGACACTAGGACACGGCTACGTTTCATATTTCTTAAATACTTACTTTCATTTTTTAAGGGTAAAATGATGGCTACAAACTAAAATATAGCATTGAATATGTATGTATGTATATATATATTAAAGTGGAAGTCTTATGCGTAGTTGTATAGTAAACTTGACTACTTATACATACTTTTTGGGTGCATTTCCAACTAGGCATGTCAAACACATATCCTATACCCTCTTACCCAATTGTTAAGTTTCTGACATGCTAGAACACGAACATGGACACGGTCATGGATACGAATACGGATACAGATTTGATGATACGATAAAACCTAAAAAATAGGATACCAGTACTGCTAGGGTATGTTTGTAAATTTTTGTTCTTATTTTTAAAAATTATTAGGTAGTGAGTTACACGTCCGCAAGTCTCCAACGAGTATCGGTATTTGATACGGATACGATGCAGATACATCTCCCTTTTTGAAGTATCCGTGCTTTGGAGTATGTAAGATAGGCCTATGAAGAATATGTTTTAGCTTGTTCACTAGTCAAACTTTGAATGTGAAGTGCATTTAGAAGTGACAGGTATTGAATCATTCGTTTCCCATGTCCTTTGGGCCTCAAGCTAGCAACCAAAGTGAGCCTCGTATTGGGCACCAGAGGCGGAATAAAGGTGTCCTATGTAGTTTCATTCTCTTTATCAAACTCCAAGAGTAACAAAATGAAGCCGGATTTTATTCTAAATTGAAATACAGTTTCTCTGAAGTATTCTAAATGAAATACAGTTTCTGTGAAGTACTGATATTTTTTACTTATTAGTTTGACACTAGAGAAAAGTGGAAGTGCAGGCACATGATTAATCTAATTAAAAAATTGGAAAATAATGTGGTTATAAGATTTTCCCAATGAAAGAGGGAGCGAGAAGGGGGGGGGGGATGTACTTCTATACACAGAAAGAAACAAAAAGTATACACATAAAAGGGGGTTGAGATTGATAGACTGAAGTATAGAGAGAAAATTTGTACAGTGGAGGAGGACATTTGTACTTTCATGTGCTTGAGAAGCCCACTCAATTTTGCCAAAGACTGAAAGTATAACAAAAATTTATAAATGAGAAGGAAAACTGAGGGTACTAGAAAGTAAAAGACACATAAAAGGGGGGAGAGTGATAGATTAGCATTAGCTACAGTACAATGATATAAGTCTCATTTGTTATTGCATCATTGTTCTCATTTTTGTTTTTGGTCTTCATCTTTTGAGTCTTTGGAAATAAAAACAATCAGAAGCTTCAATATATAGTGGGTGTTTGGAAAGTTGCTATTTTAATAGGCTATTTTAGTAGGCTAAATTTTTGTGTTTGGGAAGATGATTAGATTTTTTTGTAGTTGGATGTGATGTTTGTGACAAAAAAAGTGAAATGATTATGGATTTAATGTGACATTTTGTCTTATTAGTTATTTTAGCCTATTTTGTCTTTTTGTGGATTTTACCCCAAATGAGGCTAAAATCTCACTTCCCAAACAGCCCCATATAGTCTTCTTGAACTTTTTTTTTATAATCAATTTCATATTTTTATGACTTTGAATTTTTTTGAAGTTGGAAGAGAATTTAAACTACTCCCTTGAAATGACCTATTTTTAGGAAATGCCTTTCTTGTATCTTTTTATTTTTATTTTTCTCCTATTCAAGAATAAAAAAATACTTTTCAAAGATGATACCAAATGGGCTCTAAATTCTTATTAGTGCAAAAGGGGAAATATAATGATCATCCCATACTTTAGTAATCTGTCAAAAGGCTTTAAAAAGGTGATTATATGCTCCAATGAGGTTCAAAATGGTAAAAAAAATAATTTCCTCAAAAAAAGTTAAACGAAAGGGAACTGATTACAAATATAGATTATTTTTTAAAGCTATGATGTGAATAGGTTATTTCTCTATTTTATTATTGCCGCCCTAATCTATATTCTTCTATTATTTTATTTTTCCAAACAAAACTATTATTTTATTGGGTAAATTACATCGACATCCCTTGAGGTTTGGTAAAAATACAATAAACCCCACAGGTTTTGAGGATTGATAATTAAGGAAAGAAAATTAAGAGGAAGGGGAAACAAAGGCTTGACACAAAATAGAGAAATGGAGAAGTGAGGAGAGGGAAATTGTAAAAGGGGGAGAGGGACTAGAAATATGAGATGTGGGCCATGGAGAATAAATAAAGAGGAGCTTGAAACAAAATGATATTTGCCTAAAAAAGCCATAGGTTTAGAGGATTTTGTAACTTAGCTGGATGGTAGAAAGGTCCAAAAACATTACCCCGACAAGTTTGTCAAACAAAAGGGAGTATCAACTCCCTTTTAATTTGAGTATAGTACTATACATCCACGGGAGGATTCTGATTGGTTGTGATTTTGAGTTTAGGGTTATCAAGCTTGAGGTATTGCATGAGTGGTGGTTATGTTCTATAGGAAGGTTTCCTTTGCATATTTAATGTAATAAAATGTGATTAGTAATTTGTTGTGGATATATGTTGTTTTGTTAGTGGCAGTACCTTCGATTTTGGATGATGAATTTCCCTCATCAGAATTTAGCTCTTGTAGTTCCTTAAGCATATGTGTAGACTTTCTTGCGCATCTTTTTTTCCTCGTTTTTTTTTTTTGTTGTGTGCGCGTGCGCTGCCAACAAGAAAAGATCCGCCACCTTTTCAACTCATCATTCTTTTCCACCGATTTTGTTTGGAACTTAAGCTTGTTTTCTTGCCTGATTCTTGTCTTTGTTGCTCAGAACTGGCTTCGAGGAGGACAAAAATTTCCATGTTGTTTTAAATTCAGTCATAGCTGGGCGCTATCATGTTACTGAGTATCTTGGATCTGCTGCATTCAGCAAAGCCATTCAAGCTCATGACCTACATACTGGCATGGATGTTTGTGTGAAGATAATAAAGAACAACAAAGATTTCTTTGATCAGAGTCTTGATGAGATAAAGCTGCTTAAGCTTGTCAACAAGCATGATCCCGGTGACAAGTATCATATTCTCCGATTGTATGATTACTTTTATTATCGAGTAAGTAAATAGCAATTGGCATGTTCCTCTGTCTCGGTTATTTATTCTTTAAATAGCAATTGGCATGTTCCTCTGTTCTTTGCTAGTTTGATGTAGTTTCTGTACTTTATGTAGTTGTTCCATCCTTTTCCTGTCCTGGCAGGCAATTTAGGCTGGGTGGCTTGCATCGTTACTGTTACTCACCTCGATTTAGCTCCACCATAACATCTTGTTCCCTATACAATAACTGTCTTGAATTTTGGGAAGACTTGACAGTCAGTATCCACTGCTACTTTTAGAGAGTATTTATTTAGTGAGAGCAATATGATAAAGCAGTGCTTGGTTTGTTGTTGATTTGCAATGACTTGATGAATTCTTAAGTAAAAAGAACACATCTTTGGCTAGAATTGTGCTTCATGATGGGTTTTTCTAACCTTTCAGTGCAGGTTACAGTGGAGATTTCATATTATTCTTAATATTACTTGTGTGACTTCCATAGTTTTGGTTTAAAATCTGTTGCTGTTTTTAAATTTTATTTTTCTAGATTATTTCATTTTCTTGTACGTTGTGATTTCTACTTTCTTGTTGAATTTCTCCTTTTCAGTTGTTTCTCTTGATGAAATTAAGGGGGTGTTTGGCAAGAAAAAATTTAGCCTTTTTTAAGCTAAAATTCACAAAAAGACAAAATAGGCTAAAATTGCTAATAAGACAAAATGTCACATCAAACCCATAATCATTTCACTTTTTCTTTGACAAACATCACATCCAACTATAAAAAAATCCAATAACACAAAAATTTTAGCCTCTAGATTATATATAAAGCATGAAAATATTTGTATAAAGCATGAAAATATTTGTATCCTCTAGATTTTAATTTTTTCACACTTTTTTTCTTAGTTTTTTTGAACCAGACTTTGAGTTGAAAAAGTCCTTTTGCATATTTTGGGTTATGCCCTTGATGTTTGGAGAGTTTTTGATTTTACTCTTGTTATAGCTTCCAGGCCTAAACAAGTTTGAGTGTGAGGAGGACCTGAATTTAGTATAGCAGAAGCATAAGACTGTGCAGTGCCAATATCAGAGCATATGCCTGAGTTGTCCATACATCTCTTATATCCAACCCAGTAACATCCAAATACACATAAGCACATATGATACATATATGGCTGTGGCAAAAAATCCTATACAAAGAAATACACATCCACAAGTGTTTGATGGGGATAAAAAAGGCATTGGATAAAGATTTAGTAATTTATTTTGGCATTGTTTTATATTTATTGAATTTTATTATTTTTTTAGGTTTTATTGAGATTTAATTGTTGTAGTGTTTTATTTTTGGTAAATTTAATTTAATTAGGGTTTCCTAGGATGCGTATATATGGCTTTATGAAATAGCTTTAGGTTGTGTTTGGTTGGAGGATTTGGGAAGGGATAAGGAAAGGGAAAGGGAAAGGGTGTGTGAAACTAAGTGAAATGTAGGTAAATTTTATTCACATTTCAACTACCTTTTCCCTTTCCCTTTCTGTTTCCAAATCCCTTTCCAAATCCCCCAACCAAACACAGCCTTAGGAGATCAGACTTTTATGAATATTGATTGTTTATTATTGAGATTGAGATATTATTTTGGGATTTTGTTCCCCGTTCTTCCTCCTACTTCTTGTCTTCCTTTTGGTGCTGCATAAATTTCAATTTTATAATATCAGCATCACAGGAACCCCAAACACGTGACATGATGAAGCAAACCACACCAAACAAACAAACCAAGCAAAGCACATATGCCAACAGTGTGTGAAAACCACTTATCACCTTTCTCGAGAGTCACCATGAACATGCAAGAAAGCTTAGACCTGCCAAAGCTTGTTTACAAAACCACAGCCTTGCACCCAGGCACCACTTCCAATCAATCCAAACTGAAAGTTGTGATTCACAATGGCAATCCGAGGCTGAACCCCATATATAAGCATCACTCGTCCCCGCAGCCGTGATCACAATGCACTAACTCAAGCTATGAAGAAGGGAAAAAAGGGCAACACTAGTGTAGCCAAAGTCTGAGAACCATGTAGCCTGCAAGGATAAAAGACAATGGCCAACATCAACCTTCATTAAGCTATCTTGATCCAAAGATACAATATCATAGCCTTTTTGGACCAAGAGAAGCAACCACAACTTGCAAATCACAACAACCTCCATTACACAAGAACCACTCCTCGATCTCATAAATAACCCAAATGAGCATCCAAAAAGAGATAGGAACCGCATAATGTGAAGCGAAGTCCCACGTTGATTTGCTACTAAAGTAATATGCAATGTAAAAGCGTGAGGGCACTCTCACCTTTTGAGCTAACTTTTGGGGTTGAGTTCTACCCAAGACTGTGTAACATGGTATTAGAGCCGAAGTACCAATGATGGGTAGGGTGCATGTCCCTGGCTTGCACGTCCCAGGTGTTGATGAGTGAGAATGCTGGGCATGAGGGAGGGTGTGAAGCGGAGGCCCACATCGCTTGGCTACTAAAGTAATATGTAGTATAAAAGCATTAGGGCACCCTCACCTTTTGAGCTAGCTTTTGGGGTTGAGTTCTACCCAAGACTGTGTAACACATAGACCCTCAAGTTTAAGCAAGAAGTAGAGTTCCCAAGCCTAAATCAAACGTTTCTCACATTGAAGCCCTTCATCAAAAGATTGAGAGTATCAGTCCAAGCTTGCCCAAACATAGCCTAAAAATCGACAACGAAGGATAAGAGGGCTAGAACAAAGGAAAGTATAGACACAAAAGCGTCCAACTAGTACAAACACAATAGGGATTGAGGGCACATAGAATAGCCTAGGGTTGAGAGTGTATATTTGAGCATATATTGTTAGAAATGTATGTTTTGCTTAGTTGTGATAGAAATGTTAAATTAAAGGGTAAATTACACTCCTATTTTTTAGAAAAAAATATAGCAAGCCCCACAGTTTTGGCATAATTACATTGATCTCCTTTTTAGTAAGGCTAAAAAGACCGAAACTAATGCAGATGTTGTGAAGACATAAAAATAAATACGGTAAAATATACATTTTAGTGTAAAAGAGATAAAAACGTAATTTTTCTATTCATATAACTAACAAATTTATGATGAAAATGGGGCCAGGTGTTATGTAAATTAAAACATTAAGGGAGCTCAATGTAATTATGTCAAAGGTGTGGGACTTTCTATGTTTTGTCCAAACCTTAAGGGGGGTAAGTATAATTTACCCTATGTTAAAATATGAACAAATATTAGAGATTTGTGTCAATTGCAAAATATATTTTTAAATATAAAAAAAAAATATTATTTGAATACAAAGTTCTAGAATAAATATGATTTAACTTGTCCTATAATCGATGAATGTCACAATTTTTCTCTTACTTGGTAGCTTTTCTTTTGTTTCTTTAAATTCACATGTTCGAGAGGTTCCATTCCACTTTCTCAATGGGAATGCAGTTCTAATGAGATTCTTACACTGAATTGTGGAATTGCGGTTCCTGAGTAGGAGGTTCTTGCAATTAAATCCTAATTTTCAAAGTACACTGATGTGTCACCCCCAGTAGGAGGTTCTTGCAATTAAATCCTAATTTTCGAAGTACGTTGTTAGTTTGGCTTCTGCGCTGTTAGTCTGTTACACATAACGATGAATGTGTTTCTTTTTTCTTTTTCTTTTTTCGCTATCTTTTTTCTCCTTGTTCAATGAAAGCTGCATTTACTAGAGGCTTAGTTTTTATTTTTCTTCTTGAAGGAGACTGGAGAGTGCATATCACGTATGTTCACAAGTATGATAGCATGTTTTCTTATAAATACATTTGCTTGTAATGCATGACCCTTGGTGATGTCATGTGAATGTCTCATTTATGTTGTGTATGGATTTGGTCTTGCATTTTTTTTTGGGCGTCCAGAATGATCAATTCTTAGTGCATGACAAGTGATTTTTGTGTGCAGGAGCATTTATTAATTGTCTGTGAACTTCTCAAGGCAAATTTATATGAGTTTCATAAATTTAATAGAGAATCTGGAGGGGAGGTTTACTTCACAATGCCAAGACTGCAGGTTTGTAGGGTGACATTGTTCTGAGGGCTTTTCATCCCACTAACAAGCTACTGGTTAATTACTTGTTTTTCAATTTTTATGTGTAGTCTATCACCATCCAGTGTCTGGAGGCACTACAATTCTTGCATGGTCTTGGTCTCATACACTGTGATCTGAAACCTGAGAATATTTTGGTGAAGAGCTACAGTAGATGTGAAGTGAAGGTCATTGATCTTGGAAGCAGTTGCTTTGAAACAGATCATCTCTGCTCATATGTTCAATCTCGGTCATATCGTGCACCAGAGGTTATCTTGGGACTTCCATATGATAAAAAGATAGATATCTGGTCGCTCGGCTGCATCTTGGCTGAGCTTTGTACTGGCAATGTGAGTTCTTTGATCCATTATTTATACTGCCTCCTTTTCACATTTTACCGGATTTACAGTGACTGGGTTGTCTCCTTTGTAATGAAATGTTATTCTTAGAATTTGCTTAGAAAGTATCTTTTGAAGGTTCGGAACATCATATGTTCTTATTTGAAGAATGAGTGTGCTCACCCTCCTATAAACATAGTGAAAGAAAACTTACGAGTTAACTTGAAACTTGAAAGAGACGTCTGCACTTCAATAACATATCCTCAGTTCTATTTTAGAATTAACTCGGTTTCCTTATCATAAATTGAAGCTAATGATAATGTGCTGGTGAGTAACAGTTGGTTGTGGAACTATCTACAGCTAGAATTTGAGAACTGAACAACAGTGGAAGTTAGTATGCCTAGGATGATGTGGTCTTTCTGATTGTGGTAACATTGACAATTGCATAGGTGTAACTGGATCATCCACTCACTTTGATTTCTAAGAAATTCAGGACTACTAGAATTTCCTTTTCTACTTGTTAGAGAGGTCTTGGAGCACTTGCTTGTCATATTTCTGTTTTATTTCATTTCGATTTCTAGAGAATAAAGGATAGTAAGATATTGAAAGTTGAAGTTGTATTTTTTGCTTATTTGTTATTTATAGTGTAGTATATGGGTATTTTAGACGTTACAGCTAATTAGGATTTGTTAGCTTTTATTTGGTGTAAATCAACTCTCGTATTTTTTTAGATTGTGGGTTAGGACAACTCTCTCTCTCTCTCTACACGTTGTATTTGCTTTTGTGGTATCAGAGCAATAGATTCCTCTTCGGAGCAATCACAGACCAGTATAGTGCAGCACCTAGTCTTCTCCCTCTCTGTCAGCAATCGCAGCTCATCACAACCCTTCATTGTACTCTGTTGCATTGCATGTTGCCTTACCAAGCTCGATCATTGTAGATGAACTCCTCGACCTCCCCTGCAGTGGCAACAAGTTTCTCTTGCTATTACAAGTTGCTCTTTTGCAACCCCTAGAAGGAATTTTAACAATACTAATGTGACCAATAAATACTAAATATTTACAAGTGTGTGCCATTACAAATGTTTGCGAGCCTAATGAGGCAGGTTGGGTCTTGTTTGAACTTGACTCATTTATTAAATAACCTGAAAAACTAGGTTTGAGCTCATTCGTTAAATTATTAAACGAGCTTGGTATTGAGTCAAGCCCAAACTACTCTGTTCATTTGCAGCCCTTATTTACATACTATCATTGTTTGCTTCACATAAGATATAAGTACCTTCATACACATAATAGGTTTTTAATTGTACAAAAAAATAAAAACGGAAGTCAAGGTAAAAAAATCGGGCACTAGATTAAATAACTTGTTATGTAAGCCTAGTATAGATATAGAGTATTGGTGCTGGAAAATACTGATATTATTCTACAGGAATTGAAGTTTGTATCTTCTGGTTCCCATAATCAAAATGCATGAGATTCATTCACTGTGCACATCGTAAAAGCAATAAAGTGGGAATTATGAAAGGTTCCAAACGGGTGTTTTTTATGCTGTATATTAATTCATTGCAATTTTCTTATGGCCACGGTGGTCACAATATGGATGATTAAAGCTATAGGATTTCACTTGAGATTAAAGATATGTGATGTTGAGAACTAGCTTGCTGACGTTGAATGTTATACAATGTCATATTGTTGTCATCTATATTGTAATTTTGGTTTAGTTATGCATCCAACGTATTGACTTGCTGATTAGAGCCTAAGATAGAGTAACTGAAATCTACAGGTTATGTTCAACTTCAATGTGGTATTTATATTTCCTTTGTCAATAATGATACTTATCTAATCACTTGTAATCTTGTACATTGAGTTTCTTCCTGCCCTTCTCCTTTGTTTGAGGAATAATATATTTGCCATTTATGTGCAAGGTATGTTGAGTGTCTTTGGAACAATTTACCTGCATCTATTACTCCAACAAAAAAGAAAGAAAGAGAAGGAAACTAAATAATGTTATCTGCATCTTATGATGATCAGTTTTCCTGGCATTAATTTTTTGTGATCGTCAGTGTATTACGGTAAATGAATTTCACTGTGGTGTAGGTTCTCTTCCAAAATGATTCACCTGCCACGTTACTTGCTCGGGTGATTGGGATCATAAGTCCCATTGATCAGGACATGCTTGCAAAAGGACGGGATACATACAAATATTTCACCAAAAATCACATGCTTTATGAACGAAACCAGGTAATAGTCCTTTTTGCTTGTTTTATGTTTTCCTCTATATACTGTCTTTTGGTTCACTTTAGGAGTCAACTAGCTTATCATCCTTAAAAGTGCATTTGATTTTGATTATGGAAAATGTTATAGGCCCCAAATTTTCTACCAAATAAATGTGGATTCCACCCCCATGTGAGACATTTGGTCATTTATTTGGTAGAAATTTTGGTATTCCTAGCATTACCCTTTGATTATGCTTGTTTGATAATCTATCTAAGAAGAATGTGTGGTTGAGTTGGTGTTCAACAATGGGACAACAAAACTTGTCTGGCAAGTGTTAAATTTATTGAAACAGACATTATGTTCCACTTCATACTTTTTTGACTCACTGCTGTGAATAGGAGTGTATTGTTTTATATGTATGCATGTGTTTCTCTGTGTATCTCCTATATTTTTGTGCTGAACACATTGGGGATACTTCATGGACATGCATGTCCTGTCTTGACAAGCCGATAGACACCTTGAAGGATTTTTATTTTTTATAATAAGTCTAATTTAGGATCAAAGTAAAATATATGGAAATAAAGAGTAGGAAAATACAAGGGGGGGGGGGGGGTGGAATACCCCTACATATAAATTGGTTCCTCTCATATCTTTGTGCCTAAATTTATATTCATATTATACATAGGAAAATAAGTCAATATCCTAATTTTTTGAAAATCATTGCCCCGCGTCTGTATCTGTTTTCATGCCCATATCCGTGTTAGATTGTGGCAAGAGGTAAAATGCACAAAATTTATTTGGAATGAAATGTGGATGTTACTCCTGATGCAGTTGGCACACTGTTTTCACTTAATGACAGTGGTGCATTTTTTTTTTTTTTTATTTCCTCAGGACACCAACAGACTGGAATACCTAATCCCCAAAAAGACATCCTTAAGGCACCGGTTGCCAATGGGGGACCAAGGCTTCATCGACTTTGTTGCTCATCTGCTTGAAATAAACCCTAAGAAGCGCCCTTCTGCATCAGAGGCTCTGAAACACCCATGGCTTGCATACCCTTATGAACCCATTTCATCCTGAACAGTGATTTCCTCGGTGCAGATGGCTGTTTTGGGTGGTGTTATGAAGGGAAGGAGGTCCCAGTTGGTTCTCAATTGAAATTGGTTTCATTAAACTAATCTTCAGTGGAATTTACTTGTACCTGTGCTTGCAAATGCATTGAAGGTGTGATTGGTTTTATTGGTGGTTAATCTCACTCTCTTTCCTTCCCCATTATCAGGTTGTATTCCAATTAACCACAACCGAGAATGTAATTTATTTTTTTGCACGCATTGTGTAATTCTAGGGGTTTTTTTCTTGGTCATTTGCTTTGTGTTGTCTCTGGTGGAAGGGAGATCTTCAATCTTGTTGTACATGATGTGATAATTCTTTTAGGTTATCTAGTATTAGCTTGTGAAATAGTTGCTTATCCAATTTTGGTCGACTCACGACGCTTTTGCTGCAGTGCATCAGATTGGAGCTTGCTTAGTGAGAGTGTGTGTTGATTTGTCATGTGGTTTTGATATATTGTTGCCATGTAAGGGGTCCTGGGCTTTTTCTATATTCAGGCGCATGTCATGGTTCCAACCTATTTGAGTTAGGACTAAGGTTCTTTTTTATCTCTTTTTTTTCTCAGAGCCTTGTATTATTCACTTCATTCTGGTTTCGTAATTTTATTTGGATTGTTAGGTGTGATACCTCCTTTTTAACTTTAGAGATCTTAGAGCATCTCTAGGTGGTTGATTTCAAAACAGGGAGTCTGAGTGTTAAATTTTCACTTGCATTAGGGCAGAAATAATGTCTCATTTTGTGTTTTTCACTTGTACATTTAGACTGATTCATTCGACTTCATCGCCACCATACAAATTCATAGTAAAGATGTGTATAGAATTGGTATATACAAAAATACTTAAAAAATTATTGTATATTTCAGATTTAACTTATATATTGTAAGATTTATATATAAAATGAGTTTAAGCATTACAACAACTTTGCTTAGAATATTTTAGATGTTATTGGTATAATGTTCCATATCCATCATGAATCCTTGCATGTTGGTAAAAATATGGCTCGAATTCTTTTGGGTTTATTGGTATTTGATGGGCTCACTTTGGAGTCTACCACTGATAATTTTAAACACACCCCTAAAAAAAAATAATCAATAATAATAATATTAATGATAAATTACCACAAGTCCTTTTTGAAAAGTGTGTATTCTATTTAATTTTAAATTTTTTTTGGTAGTTTCAAAGGTCTTGTGCCTATTATTTTTTTTTTCCTGCACTTTATTTATTCTTTTTATCCGTCTCTCTCTGATATATGGCGATGACCGCACATTTTTTTTTTTTTGTGGTCTCTTTTTAATCTATCGTCATCGGTGATCACTATTGATTGGGATTTACTGTCAACAACTGAGCATCGACTCCTTACTTCACGCTCATTGATAGTTAAAGAGATGAGTTTCCGACGAAAAAGATGAGTATATCTGCTCAAATTTAATGTAGAGAGCCAAGTTGTTAGTTGTTAGTTGCTTATTGGTCAGTTATCTTTGATTAATCATTTTGTTTCTAATTTTTGTAAATTTATTCAGTCTTGTCTCTATTCGTTTCTAACTAGAGTGAAATCATTTAATTTTTGTAGCCACTCAATATTCGTCCCACATTCTGTAAGTCCTCAAGTGTAGGAGTAAAGAATATAAAGAGTTCCGGTTAGGGTATAAGTGAACACATGGTACATGAAAAATGATAATAAAGAATTTAGGTCCTCTCGAATTACATTTATAGATTTTAGAATCATGAGTTGTTTATTCAGAAGTAACACTTCAGTCAGTTCTAGAATTTCATTTGCTTGTACCTGATCCAGTGAACGAAGAAGAACATGAATTCTAAGATTTGAAAATAGATTTAGGATGGAATATACCAAAAATACCAATTAAAGAAATTTATAAAACAAGTTTTCTACAATCCGCTTTTAAAGTTAATCTACAACTTAAAATTGTTGAATAAGTTTATACTGTAACTATGATACATGAAACATGTCATTTATTAACCAAAGAATCTATAAAAAAAACATAAATCTGAAGGTCACAACTTTATACATATAGGATTAATACAAGTTGCTGTCAAACCATTAACCATTCAAGGCATAAATTCATCTATTCTTCTATGCTTAAGAGATCGAGTAGATCTATATTAGATCTGGCTAGATCTAAATTAAAAATAATTGTCGGAGTACAAATATCTTTCTATATCTATCTCTTTTCTTCGATCTCTCAAAATTTTTTTTTTTTACTTTTTCTGTACTACACATTTCTATTTCTCTATTATAATGGAAAAAAATTTCAAACTCTGAACAAGTTTTTGATTTTTAGTTACAAGCGGTAAAAACTGTAAAATTTTACAGTTTTAGTTGTTTTGGTGCTGAAATGAATCATTTTTTTAAATTATAAAATTTTGTAGTTTCATAACTTTCTTTAAAATTATAAAATTTTGTAGTTTCATAACATGTTAAAATTTGATTAATAGGGATAAATGCTTAATAAAATCATGCTTGCTCTTCAATTTGATCAATATTAGAGATTATTTACTTAAACGTTACAAAAATTAAGAATAACATATATATATATATATATATTTTCATTATTGCTGTTTGTTGTTCTTATATTTTTTTTCTTCTTCCAGTTTATCAATATTTAACACATTTTGCTATGTTTTTTCACTCTAATTTCTTAATTTATATTTTTTTTTCCGGACAATATTCTAGACATTTCAGTTAGTTTTCAGCAATATTTTTTAAAATTTGATTAATAGGGATAAATGCTTAATAAAATCATGCTTGCTCTTCAATTTGATCAATATTAGAGATTATTTACTTAAACGTTACAAAAATTAAGAATAACATATATATATATATATATATTTTCATTATTGCTGTTTGTTGTTCTTATATTTTTTTTCTTCTTCCAGTTTATCAATATTTAGCACATTTTGATATATTTTTTCACTCTAATTTCTTAATTTATATTTTTTTTTCCGGACAATATTCTAGACATTTCAGTTAGTTTTCAGCAATATTTTTGACATTCAACGAACATTCTAGACATTCTGACGACTTCTAGTGACGTTCAGAACACTCTAGCGACACTTCAGCGAATTTTCGGTGATACTCCAACAACTTCCCAGTGATGTTAAACATTCCGACAAGTTTCCAGTGACCTTCTGGTAGAAGTTCAAAGGTGATGGGATATAGCCGAGTCTTTAATTTTATTTTATTTTTTTAAATTTTTTGGTAACAATTAAAAATATGTAAGACTAATTGGTGAAAGTATTTTGTTTTTAAACTTTGCGTATGGACCTATTGGTAAGTTCCACTAATAATAATTAGATATTAATACTCATATGATTTTATTACATTTTTGTTATAAATAAATAAATAAAATTATTTTTAAAATTATACTTAAGTCAATTTTTTAAAAATAAATATAGTTCGATCATATAATTATTAATACCTTATTACTTAGGTCTCATTTAGAAATAGATTATTTTAGTAACTTTCTAGTTTTTTTGGCTAAAATATGAAGTAAAAAAAAATTAGTATGTTTGGAATGACTTTTTAATTTTTAATAAAAAGATGTGCAAAAAGTAAAGATAATGAAAATTTCAAATTTTTGATATAGATTATAGGCTTTTTGATTTTTTTAGTAACTTTTTAACTTTTAAGCTAAAAGTGTTGCATGCCAAATGAGACATTAATTTTTTTTATAAATGATTTTTTCAATAAACGTTGAATAATTTGGTTACCTAGGTGGATCTCAAAACGGGTATACTGGGTCCTAAAAAAAAAAAAATCACTATAAAAAAAATCAACTGTTCTCTCTAATTTTCTTCATATATTTTATAAAAAATTAATTAAAATAATCAATTCCTAAAATAATCCTAAGGCTTCGTTTGGGAACAGGTTAATTTAGTAACTTTTTGGCTATTTGGCTAAAAATGTAGGTAAAAAAAACTTGTATGTTTGGGATGACTTTTTGGCTAATTACGAAAAGATGTGCAAAAAGTAGAGAGACTTTTTGGTATGGGTTGTTGGCTTTTTGGCTAATTTAGTAACTTTTTGACTAATTGACTAAAATAACCTCTTGCCAAACGAGGCCTAAATCTCACGACACTTCTTTAGTTAGATGCTCAACTAGAGTGAAATCATCCCAATTAAAATATTAACACTAAAAAATATTAGCAAGTTTGGGAATTAGTTAAAACAACCAGAGAGTAAAAAATTTAGGGCAAATTACATATACACCCCTCCAGGTTTGACAAAATTACAGATACCCCCCTGAGGTTTGAGAAATTACGAATTCCCCCCTGAATGCTATATTTGCATAAGAAATTAGGGGGTAATTTGTTATGAAATATAAACCTCAGGGGGTAAATTGTTATGAAAATACAAACCTCAGGGGGCGGGATGTAATTTCCGAAACCTCAGGGGGGTATCTGTAATTTAACCAAACCTGGAGGGGTGTATATGTAATTTGCCCAAAAATGTATTACAAAAAAATCAACTACTCCATTCTTTTTGTTTATCTGTACATTTTTTCAAAATTTAACTAAAATAATTGATTTTCAAAATAATCCTAATGTCTAACACTTAGCCATATACTCATAAAAAATATTTAGAAATTATCTAGAATTTAAACATAATTATGGCCCACAAACCACTAATTTTAAATCTATATATACTCTACACATCACTTTCATAGTAGAATTATCAACAAATTTTCATGATTTCTACGTTTAAATCAATATCTATTAATTTTGAGTACGAAGTGTATTAAGGTCTCGTTTACCAACTCAATCTTTTAATTTATAAGTTAAAAAAGTAGCTAAAAAAAAATTAAAAAACAAACTATCTATACAAAAAAAGTTAAAGGTTTAATTTTCTTTTATTTTTTTCACATCTTTTCGTAAAAATAAAAAAATTATTCCAATCAAAAAACTAATTTTTTTTTTTGAAATAGCATGTTCCAAACAAGGCATAAGTTCAGGAGTACCCAATAATTTCATATGCAAATTAGCAAGCTCATATGGTATATAAGGGCGATACAGTGGTCGCTACAATCTCATAACAACTTTTTACAAATTGTTCAGAAACTGGTACTCTCTCTCTCTCTCTCTCTCTCTCTATATATATATATATATATACACATATATGCACACACACAATCATAGATTAAGAGACGCGCACATATAGATATGGAAGCATCTTCTTCTGATCAATCTTAGTACTGAAATATGGAAATGACGACGCTGTTACTGCTTGAATTTGCAGTTGGAAGTAGTAGTAACTACTAGTATATACTGTTTGGTGCATTCTATACCTAACAAAGTCGGAACGATATATCATCGAATATCAATTTGGTAATCTTCTCACTATATTTATATATATATGTGTGTGTGTGTGTGTATGTTTGACTCAGATGAATCCATTCTTTCAGAATTAAAGTATCTTGTGCATATATATATATATATTTGTAGTAATGCGTACATTTCCTTTGAAGTTTCTCTTGCTGTTCTTATATCATGAGCTTTCAAGAATTTTTTGATATACAATACAATAAGAAAATGCATGAGAAATCGAGTTGGCAACAACAACTTAGACGAATCTTGTGTTCGTTATATAGATGTGAGTGTTTGATCTTCAGCCATACATAGCAAGCTTTTCTTGGGGCAAGCAATTCATTGTTTCTCTCTGATTTCATTAGCCCTAACAGTGTTTTTTTTTTTTTTTTTATAGTTTTCTTCATTGTTTTTACACGTACAAGTGTGTGTATATATATATTGAATTCGGATATCTATATTGGTCGGTCAGGCGATGGAAGTATTGAATTTCGAATAGTGTTTGGTTAGGAGGAAATTAAAAATGGAAGGACTGAGACCAGGTTGGGCAGTGAAGGCGATCATAGTGATCGTGATATCGTCGGTGTTGTTCCGTTGCGTCTCTGCAACCACCAACCACTCCGTCGGAGGTCCTACTGGTTGGGACCCTCAATCCGACCTCCCTGCTTGGGCTGCTGCCTTCACATTTTACGAAGGCGACAATCTAGGTTCTCTCTCTCTCTCTCTCACTCTCTCTCTCTCTCTCTCTCTCTCTATATATATATATATATATATGAGAAAAGTTCGGGATCATAAAATTTTTTTCATGAAAATGATTATGAAAGATTTATGATTTTTGAATTACCTTGATTAGTGTCTGGTGTTTTATTGTAAGTGTAATTCAAGGGTCACAAAACTTTTATGATTATTTTCATGAACGGTTTTTCATGATACCTAGCATATATGTGTGTATGATCAGAACCATCAGAAATGCAATCAAGAGAAAATTTAGGGATCATGAAATTTTTTTTCATAAAAACGATCATGAAAGAGTTAGGATCCTTAGATTACCTTGATTAGTGTGTGGTGCTTTATTCTAAGTGTAATTCAAGGGTCACAAAATTTTCATAATTATTTTCATGAAAGATTTTTCATGATACCTAACATTGCTGCGCTCAATGCACAGCTCGTTCAATTTCCAGCAATGCTAGGTATCATGAAAAGTCTTTCATGAAAATGATCATAAAAGATTTGCGACCTTTGAATTACACTTAGAATAAAGCACCACAAACTAATTAAAATAATGTAAGAATTACAAATCTTTCATGATCATTTTTATAATTTTTTTTTTTTATCATCCCTAACATTTCTCTTCGATTTCATTGTAACTAACTGCTTTATTAGTGTTCCGTTATTGCTAAGATGCGCATAGGTTGACATGCTTGGTGGTGTGGTGTTGGAGATCCTATAAAGGAAAATATATAATTACAAGAAAGCCCCCATTGTAAACAATGATGTATTAATGTTTCGAAGGGCAAACTTGGTGTGTTGTGAAAACATCTTACTTGTTATAATTGTTGAATAATGTTATATGTACTAATTGATATATCAATTAATATACTAATAAATGACATGACATAATTTTAAAAATTTTAGATCTTTGTAATTTATATAATGGATGGAGTCATAATTTTAAAATAACAATGTCATAAGATAAGTTAATACACTGATTAGTATATTAATTAGTACATATAGCACCACTGATAATTATCTATTTCGAACTACAAAATACACAACTAGCAAATTTCTATATGAAAAAAGATGACATACAAGTATTTATGAAGAAGATTTTTCAGTGTATACTTTTTATTTTAGAATAAATATTTGTAATTAAAGTTTTTTATTATTATTATTTTACAAAAATATACTACCACATTATTGCTTGTCAGATTTTTTAAAATATAAACACCTAATAAATTGCTCCCTAAAGCCCAATCCCCATGCGTGGCCCAAAAATTGTTGGGCTCCCTAGCATATTGGAGTAACGAAAATGTAAAGGACTTGGGTTTCTTTTTTTTTTTTTTTTTTTAAGAAAATGAGTTGGAGCCCGAGGCACTTCTTTTAACTCTCTCTTTTTTTGATTGACTAATTTTTTTTTAATTTTTTTTTCTTTCTTCTCCAATCACCCCTACTATGTGGGTGTGGGGTTGATGAGGATGGTTGGAAGGGCTCTCAATTACTTTTTTCTTTTTTATTTTTTCTTTTTTTTTTAAAGAGGGATAAGGACTTGAGGTTGAGGGGGGCATGTATTTATTTATTTATTTATTTTTGTGATATTTGTGGCAGTGTTCAGGTACCGGCCTACTCATGATGTGCTGGAGGTGCACGAAGCGGATTATCCCACGTGTCGGATAACGGACCCTATTAGAGCGTACAGTGATGGGGAGACAGTGGTCCAACTGGAGGAAGGTGGGATAAGCAGGTACTTCATCTGCGGCCGACTCAACTACTGTGCCAGGGGACTCAAACTTGAAGTCCAAGTCCTCCTCCGCCTCTCTCCTCCGCCCTCCTCATCTCCACCCAACCCCAATCCCAATCCCAATCCCAATGGCACAACAATAACACCCTCCGCCGGTGGGGACGGCAGCACAATAGACGGCCATCGACGAGGCAGACCGAGACCTCCTGACCATGGCCGCCAAAGACATCCTCCACCTCCGCTGACATCTAATTCAACCAAATCATCTCCTCGTCATCATGATCATGACCATGATCGTGATCTTCCGCCGTCAGTTGATGATCATGGTCGTAATGGTCATGATAAATGTGCTCCTGCTCCACATGGCCAGTGTTCCGGAGGAGTTGAACTAGGCATTGGCTTCTTTCTTCGCTGCTGCTTCTGCATGTTGCCACTGATTGCTGCACTAGCTGCTAGTATTTTCTAAAGACCTAGTCAGTACATTCTCATTCTCTCTCTCGCTCTCTTTTTTCATCATTAAATTCACTTCTTCTTGTGTGAATTGAATGAATCAAGAATGATCATCATGTCCCGATCTCGTACTACTTACTTACTCACTCACCCGACCCCATTCACTTCACAAATGTTGATGTAATAAAACATTCTGCTGCTTATGAGTTGGTGTCCTGGATTGCATATGCCGTAATTTCATTGATCAGTCTACTTTTAATATACTAGTGGTGATGTGTGTGCAATTTAAATAAGTAGGAATAAAAAATAATAATAATGAAATTAATATTATAATGTGTACTTAGCTTAAGTGGTATGAGTTCTCGTACTTCACTACAAGAAAACACATTTTTGCCGACCATTTTTGGCTACCAAAACAAATTTAGTCGCCAAAAGTGTGGGAATTGGCTACCAAAATTAATTTTAGTCGGCAAAAGTCAACCTTTTAGCTACTAATTTTTTTTAGTAGGGGAATGTTGATTATTGGCGACTAAAAAAAATTTAGTAGCTAAAAAAAATACAATTGGCGACTAAAAAATTTTTAAGTAGCTAAACATATCACAATTGGCGACTAAAAGAATTTTTAGTCGCCAAAGACCTACTTTTGGCTACTAAATAGTTTGGTAGCCGATTGTTTAATAATGGTAAAGTGTTCCTTTAGGTAATGGTAATTTCTGTAGGGTTGTAATGAAAAATTAATATTATTAAAATGTAATGAATAATTTTAAAATGTAATAATTTATCATTTAAATAAATTTTTCAATTTTTCAATATCATTATCAAAACGAGGGTTAAGTGTGCAAAAAAAATTCACTCATGACTTATAAGTAAATAAATCTGATTTGTAAGACTTATTGATATTATTTCAGATTTTAAAATTTTTCTTAATTTTTTAATAATTAATTTTTTCAACTTTTTTAAATATTTTAAGCAAATTTTAGTCGCTGTAGACCTACTAAAAAATTCACACTTTTTGCGAGGGCTTAAGTGTGTAAAAAAAATTCACTCATGACTTATAAGTAAATAAATCTGATTTGTAAGACTTATTGATATTATTTCAGATTTTAAAATTTTTCTTAATTTTTTAATAATTAATTTTTTCAACTTTTTTAAATATTTTAAGCAAATTTGTTTATTTTTTAGACTCACTTAATTTAGATATATTTAAAAAAGAAAATATTTGTGATTTTTTTAAAATACAAAATAAGTACTCACTTAATTCACTTAATTTAGATATATTTTTTTTTTTTAAATTTGAGGGATCTATAAAAGTAATTGGCGATTTAATGCTAATTGAACTGAAGGCCTAAACTGGGGCTGTGCGTATATATTTTTTAGTTATGCGTTAATGATTTTGACTGCTTAGATATGCTTGAGAAAATGATTTTGACTGCTAGTTACAACTGAATAATAAATTAATTAAATTCACTTGACACATGATTTCTTCATCTATCGTTATCTATGAGAAAATATACATATTGCATGTTCTAAAATTCTAAAAAATTGATTAGTGCCTAGTTAGTCATGCAGGAGTCCCAAAAAAAAAAAAACACGGGTTGAGTTGGCTCAAAATTTTTTATTAAAAATATAAGAATATAAGAAAATATAAGAATATAAAATTTTAAAATATATTATTATATTTTTCAGTACAAAAAATATTAGGACAAATATTTAAGATAATTTAATTTTTGCCTTTTTTTTAATTTATAATTTTATTACTTATATTTTTATTTAAATATAATTTTAATATATTTGTTACTTTTATTTTAATTTTTTTTGAAGTTGTTATTTTACTTTTACCAACTAAATATTAGTCGGCGATTATAATTACAAAATTTAAAAATTGTGCTTCATATCTGAGGGAAACTTCGAAGGGAAACTTTATTACTTCTTTCTTTTCTCTCTCTCTCTCTCTCTCTCCACCATTTCACAAAGAAACAGAGTAAGTAGTGTTTTCTTCGTATTCTTTGCGAAACTCTGAATCGCGAGACCACAAAATCGAACGAAGACAGGTCCTCATTGGCCGACGAATCTGCTGGGCAAAACCCTAGATCTGAGTTGATCTGTTTTCGATCGGCCTCAGCATTCTGAATATTGGATCCATTGGATCGGAGACATGTCAATCCACATCAAGGAAGTCAAATATATACTCAATGCAAGTTATTCTTCATATGTAATTCATACATTTCAAGCATATAAACCTATAATTGAATAAATATACATACATATATATATATATATATATATGTATATTTATTCAATTATAGGTTTATATGCTTGAAATGTATGAATTACATATGAAGAATAACTTGCATTGAGTATATATTTGACTTCCTTGATGTGAATTGACATACATATATATATTTTTTTCTTTCTTTCCTCTTTTGCATAGTAACTCGAGGAATTTTGCTGCTTAAGTACTTTAATTTTTTCAAGGACCAAATGCATTTTCCTTAGTTATGGTTCGTTAGTTTGTTCCACTCTTTTGACTTACCCTTCTTTAACTGAAGCAGATTTATTGTTATTTATGGATCAAGTTGGGATAAAGAGAAAAAGGAAGAAGTGGCCGAGACGGAGGTTGATCCTGAACGAGATCAGCGGATGGTTTTTGCTTATGAACTTTTTATTGCTGTATCAATTACATTTTATGTCTTGGGTAAACCTAAATAAAATCCAAAATTTGGGAATTTTTTAACTGTATTTTTATACAAGAAATTGGAACTTGCCATATTTTATTTAAAAAATTTCAAAGGGTGCTAAATGAAATTCAATTACTTAGTCTTTACTGTGTTTGAACTTTGAAGATCTATTATTTTATTTTATACAGGTAAATGAAGCTGGCCAAAATGAATCAATTTTCACATTGATTTTAATTTCTATTATCTTTAGCGTACGATTTATAAGATTTTGGTAGGCAATCAAAGCCATCTATTGAAGACCCACTTACTCTATGCATGCTTGCCTTGCAGCTGCCACCACCCTCACGCGAAAGGTATGCTAAAATGGGCAACTTGTTATTGTCTGTTTGTCGATAGTTTTACATTGCAAAAATTTAAAGGCATAGTTACAGGTCAGTCTGATGAATTTAATTTTTAATATTAAATTTATTATTTTTAAAAAGTACAATTAAACTATTTATTCTTTTTACATCATCATATTTCAATAACACTAATAAATTAAGAATAAATCAAAATTCACAAATAAAAGACAAAATATCCCAATTATTTATCATTTTAATAAATTTTTCAATATTATTACCAGTACTAATGAAATAATCATTGCACAGACACAAAACATATATTTAAAAAGTTTGAAAAAAATTTCATTATCAAAATGAGGGCAAAGTGTGTAAAACAAATTCACTCATGACTTATGAGTAAATTTATAAAATTTATAAAATATATTATTATATTTTTTAGTAAAAAAAATATTAGGGCAAATATTTAAGATAATTTAATATTTTTAATTTTTAATTTTATTACTTATATTTTTATTTAAATATAATTTTAATATATTTGTTACTTTTATTTAAATTTTTTTTTGTTAGTTTTAATATATATTTTTAATATATTTTTTACCGACTAAATTTTAGTCGGCGATTATAATTACAAAATTTTAAAATTGTGCTACAGACTTCGGAGGGAAACTTCGGAGGGAAATTTCATTGGCGACTACAAAAATTGGTCGGGAAAGAAAGGTTTAAGATTTTCGATTTCATTGGCTTCAGATTTCAGATTTCGTTTTTCTATCTCTCACTCTTTGACTCTCTCTCTTTCTCTCTCTTTCTCACTCTCTCACATCTCTGCCCTCCTCCAGCTCTCTCTCTCGCCTTTGTCTCCATCGTCGTCGGGTACGGCAGGTATGTCCTCTCTCTATTTTGTCCTCTCTCTATCTTTCAGTCTCTCTTCCCCTAATTTCAGCCTCTAGGGTTTTCGTCTTCCATTTGCAGCTCTGTTCTGATAGCAGCTCTGTTCTTGACACTGGCGAGCTCGGACGCCCCTTGCTCAGAGGGGTCCAGTGGTGTATAGATTTGGGAATTTTGCCTTCTTCCTCCTCCATCGATGATCTTTGCCGAGTCACCACAGATTCACGTCGGAGGTATAAATGGATGTTTTCTTGATTATATATATTGGGAATTCTATAAACGTATATATATATATATATATATATGTCTTTGTAACTTGGAGGCATAATTTGTTGTTTTCTTGAAATTACTCTACGTAATCGTTTGTGTTTTGTTAATGGGTTGAAATGATCACCTGGGTCAGCTCCAAAATACTTGAAATTTGTTGTGAAAGTTTCCATGATGAGCTCGTTTTAGTTTATAGAATTTCCTTATCAATTTGATTCCGATTGCAGTTTAGTTATTTACATGTGAGTGCATTTATAGTGTGCAGTTTTTTATCATTACGGTCCAGTGGCGTATTTTATTTATGGAAATTAAGGATTCAATGTCCTCCGGGTATAATCTTTTAGGGAGTAGGAAATCCCTACCTCGAAGAAATAGCCCCAAAAGAGAAGATGGAGATGAAGACCCAAACTCCAAAGTGCTCCAAACTACCAACAATTCAGATTAAAACGAAGCCCTCAACTCACTCTAACTTTTTAATGAAGGATCTAGGGTAGAAACACACCCTAAGAAGTGAAGAGAAAAAAAAAACTAACATATGAGAAACAAGCGACATTTGCACTCCCATAATATCAAGCTGGTAATGATGAACATAGTAAAGGCCAGAAATATTCTATTTAGAAGGCAAACAATTTAGCATTTGCAGTTTGCTTCCTAAGGTAAGACAGAATCACATTAAAAGCTTGAACAAGCTTCAAGAAATTTTGTAATTGAAACCAATGTGATTTGGATTTACGTCACATTGGGACTGATAATGATGTAAATGATAGCTAACTCTCATGCTTGTAGTTTTGTCTCCTTTTTGACTTCACTGGCAATATGGACACCAACCCAACCTCACCTCTTGTTTTGTATAGTCAAAAATGATAATATATATATATATATATATACTAGCGTATGCCCGTGCCTAAAGGCACAACGTAAATATATTAAGATAAAATACAATGGTAATTTATTTTGATGATATATTTGTGGATTAAATTTATAATAACTAATCATCCTTAAATTTTAAAAATTTGTAATTATATCAAGTGATATCAAG